CTTCCCCCTTTTCTCAGCATAAACGGAGAGGAAAAAAATCCAGTGCAGACACCGTGTTAATCTTTTTTCCCAACACAATTTAACATATGCAAAGAAGCACAGGAGAAATTAGGGAGAATAATAAAAAAGAATGTGCGTGAGTTGGTTTACTATAAGCCCTAAAATAGCTTGGACCAACGCTGATTTAATGTGCTGGGTTCCAGATCTGCCTCTGTGTTGCAGTAGTAAATAGAATCAGTGCCGTGCCTGGCAGCTGGCACTGGAGCAGGAGGGCTGCTTTCAGTAGCAGCTAACTCAGTGGCCAAGCCTATGCAAGGTGACAGTGGCCAGCTACCAACCACCCCATGGCTTTTCTGTGCTCCCAGCACCTGCCTTGGGTGATATGGACCACGTGTGAGATGTGAAGTGTGTTCTCAGTGCAAAATTAGGCAGCAAAGGAGCCAAGAAGGCACAGAGAAGGAAAGGAGGTGAGGGATGTTGGAGAGCTGCCTGGGAAGGATGGGGTTTGTAGGGAATTTTCCCTGTGTCTTGGGCTCAGCCTTATCCTGATTAATGGCTGGCAGGTGGACAGGAGGAAAGCCCTACCATGGGGAAGTTACAAAGCATGTAGGGAACTTTGGGACTGACCTGAGTACCTGTAATTTCTGGGGGTCAGATATCATTCGAAATTAGACAAACTAGCATAGCTGTTAATTGTGTTTGTACTCTGTACTTTGATGACCTTGAGCTCAGTTTTGGAGCCAGAACATTAATTTCTATCTATGTACAGGGTGTTTCTCTGTCTTCCAGTTGTGATTGCTCTTAGCAGTCCTACTGCACTGCTTTTACTTGAAACACTATCTTCTTCATCTGCTGTATGTGCCCCATATTGTAGATGTTGAATTTGTAACTTTACTTTTTCCACTGTTCTCTCCTAAAACAAAGGTTCTCGTGTCTCACTACCTGCACAGTAGTTTTTCTCCTCTACCTGACTTTTTTTTATCCCAACTTTTCCTGGTATCCATAGAACATCAGTAAAATTGAATCAGATCTACATTCTGACCTACCATAATCCTGGAGTAAGTTCAAACTCTGGGTCACATTTGTTGGTAGGGTAGGGGTGGTGAAGAGGACAGACTTTGGGAAGCACAAAAAGAGTACAGGGAGAAGGAATCCTCACGTATTATTCCTCTTTACTGGCTGATGATTTCGTATGCCCTGAAGAGCAGCATGTGGTCAAATGGAGATGGTGAGAAGCAGAGACAGATGGCAACATGTGATTTGGAAGGAACACAGGGTTTTACACCCAGTCTGAAAAGCAAAATCAGAGCCCTGAATGCTCATGATTCTTTTGGTCTAGTTGATATCGTGTGTTTCATTATCCAAATATCAGGATTTAAACTGGCCTATATGCCAAAGATTTATTTTGATTTCCTCTTTATTTTGAACCCGCATTCCTTCAGTAGAGTGCTATTCCTTCTGACCTCCAAATGAGTGAATAGGGTCATTTTTGGTGGGCAGACAGCCCAAAGGAGCTGGGCGGAGAAGAGGACAGACTTTTGCAGGTGGCAGCCCTGGGCATAGGACAGCTGCTTTACGCTGCATTGATAAATGCAAAGAAACTTTCAGGTCAAACTCGTATCTTCTCTTCTTTATTTCCCATGCCTCCTTCTGGGCCTACAGCTTGGGCTGCAGAAGCTGAGATAGAGGTGTTTGCTGGAGTTTTCCTGAGCGACCCAATGCTTCTCAGCTCCAGGCATGGTGACAGGCACACTGCTTGCTGCAGCAGGGCCATTCCTTCTTCAGAGCTGTGCCAGGAGGCTTCACGAACTGTTTCCTGGGAGCACCCTAGCGGGGCTGGGATGATGCAGCAGGCTGGGGCTGGGGCTCCACGCCAGCAGCAGATAAGTGGTGAGGCTGCCAGTTCTGCTTACAGCTCACTCGAGGTGTTTGCTGTCCTCAGATTCAAAAGGCTTAGGAGTCCAAGGAATTAAAATAAATGAACAAGCAGGTGGGAAAGAGCTAGAGGAAAAGACCAAAATATTTTTAAAGCTCTTCTTCATCAGCAACCCATAAGTGATGAATCTGCAGGGTACAGTCCGGTTTAAACTGGCTTTGGGAAACTGAGGTTAGCTCACTTAGCTTAATAATTAAAGGAATGAAAGGCATTCCTACACACTGCACTAAAGATGAGTGAGGTTTTATCTCTGTGCTGCTAACAGTTCCACTGACATGTTCATAATGCTGTAACACATTTCTCTGCACATACAGCAAAGAAGAGGGCTGGTGGCAATGGGCCAGAATCACTTAGATCATTTTACCAGGGGCACACCAGAGACCAGGGGACCCCATCAAGGAGATGCTTTTTCCAGTCTGTAGCACCCCGTGCTGTGACGTTTCTCATACTGTTGTCCCCCCGTATTACTTCTGACAACACAAAAAGTGATTGTTGTCTTTAGATATAAAAATCAGTTTAACTCAAGCCAGGGTCAAACTGCTGTCACTGTATTCATATATAGGTTTCAACTACTTTTGTCACCGTGAGAGTTGGAAAATTGCAGCTCTGGGTAAGGTCAAACCAGGGTTACAAACTTTCTTTGTGAGCAATTGAGTATGAAACAAAATCTGATTTGCTCACATACAGGTAATGTTTGTTTCTCCTCCTCTTTAAAGTGCAATCCTGCTTCTCCATGTTCGTTTTAAATAATTCAGCGTTGTGAAACAGGAGGGCTTGAGAAATTTCAGAAATAATGCATGCAAAAGGCAGGCTTTTATATTTATGATGTCTGTGGGATTCTGCAGCATCCTGGCATGATGTGTGGGTGTGTGTGTACATGTGCTTTTTTTGTACTCGCTTGCATACTCACACACCCGCACACTGTGTATGAATTGGTTATGTTACCCAAATATCTCCTAGGGATCTCTCTCTCTTTCTGTGGATCTGGTACAATTTGTACTTGAAATTACTCTAGGAATTGTACAGTTTTGTGTTAAACACCCCCACACTGATACAGACACAGATTGAAAGCAGATAGGCATTAAAAAGTGATGCTTAAGTAACTGCTGTTCTGCTCTAAGAATATTTTCTTCCGATAATTCATTTCTCAAGAGTGATGTAGGTCACATCTTGGGCCAGGAGGAAGAAGTAGGTGACTGTGTAAGGAAATGTGAGCTGTCCAGACAGAGCCCAGTTTATCACTTCCACACCTCCAAGACACAGGTCAGCCCCAGCTCACATCATAGGGGCTGAGGCTGGTTATCTGAGAGAGTAACACAGGGTTTGCAGCTTCTCATTCCAGAGGAACCAAATGGGGCAGCTCAGCTCCACTCAGGCCACTGAACAGGAAGGAATGCAGAAAGCAAGGAAACAAAATGGAGAAACTTCCCAAAAGATTGTTTCTTTCTTGTCAGTGAGAGGTGAGGCAGAAACGTATGCCTGTATGGAAGTGTGAACTTGCAGGCTCTCAGTTCTCTGTGTCAGTCCCCTCTAAAAGTAAGCGTTAGTTTCTCATCTCCTAAAGCAGAATACCTGCTGATTGACTGAGCCTAACAATAATTTCCCACTCTGATATGTTAGCTTCTTTACTTGCTCTATTATTTCCACTTATGGAATTAATGTATTCCCAGAACTCTTAGAATTCGTCTCTCAAAATGGTACTGCATGTAGTATTTGTTCTCCAGATAGCATAAAAAGTGTGTTGTATTCAGCAGTGATGAACTGTGCACGCAGAGCACAGCCCAAATGGTAGTTAAAGGTGGCAGTATCTCCCAGGGGAGGAACTGAGTGCACCCAGGCACAAATTCTGTTTTTGTGCCTTAATACTGCTGCCAGAACACTGCTGATGCATCTAGCTTAGAATAAATATTAGCCATTGGGCATTTCTCCCAGAATGTCTTCTCTTATACATAGTGGAAACCACACAGTATTTGCCTGATTTGTATTTATTTATTTATTTGTTTGTTGGTCTCAGCATAAATAGAGTTAGGGAGATGTGGGCGAACTCACAGGTTGTTTTCAAGTTTTTGAAATATCCATTTAATTGATATTCTCACCTGGGAGGCATTTCAGTTCTCTCATTTGTTCCCTTCTGGATTTTTTTTTATCATTGGTTTGGTTCTTGTGGCACTTCACTCAAATGCTTCCTAATCTGTTTTCTGTACTTCTGTCTGACTTGTTCTATCCTCTGCTGTGTTCTCTGCGTAACTGCTTTTGAGTTTAAAAGCCTGCTTTCAACCTTCCTAATTTTAAGTACTCATAACATTATTGTCTGGTATGTCAGAGATGTCTGTCTCTCTAGCATGGGTCCCTTCCCTTCCAGAAGTGTCCCCACGTCTGAGGAATCTGATCTTTCAAGTATCTTCTCAGCTAGGTATCAACCTTAGCCTCTCTTTCCAGACCAGTGTAAGGTTATTGGGAGAGTTTTCAGAGAATGTTCCTTGCTCTGAGATTTTTTTCTCAAGAGCTTAAAGGACTTCCAGAATGGCTTTCCTGCCCTTACGTATGTAATTTGTTCCAAAACAGAGTAGGCTCATTACCTTCTAAAAGGCCAATACCTCCTAAAAGCCAATTCAGACTCCTATGAGGTCTGCCACGTTAGTTGTGGCAGTCCAGTTGCCACGTAATGCTCTCTGGGGTCACAGCCCCACGTGCCTATTTGTGGATGCTAAGAATCAGCTTCAAGCCTAAGGTACAGTTTTATAGAGATGCCTGGCTGGTGGCAGGAGACTATTGTGTAAGTCTGTAAAGAGGCCAGCTTTTGGATGTGTACTTTTTCTTGGTGTCCCCATTGTACTGGTACTGGCTCATGTGATCCCCATCAAGTCCTTCCCAAATGAACACATTACAACACAGGCCCTTGCTCAGTATTTTTAGTCCAAGGCTGGATATCTCAATGGCTAAGGTTCCTTCTTGAGTGCTGACCTGACTGATTTGGAACCAGAACTGAGTTTGTCATGTTGTTTTTCGTTTGGCAGAAGGCTATGTGTTTAACAAGGCATTCACTGTATTTTCTGTTTTGCAGATGTCTGACGGCACTCCTGGATCAGCAGCTCTTGCTACATTGTTCTGCAAGTACAAAACTTCAACTAATGGGCATTAGGAACTCATGGACAGACTCCACCTCACACGCTTTTGGCAGGTATCGTGACTTGACATCATCTGCTCTATGTGGTTGAAGCCTGACACCTGTGTAGCACGACTTGCAGTTGAGCTGTGAATTGAGCATGTGAACATATCCATGACAGCTCAAGCATTCTGGAAGTCAATGATTTGCTGTGTGATTCAGTTGTCCAGCAAATGTGCTGTAGACTGGATATAGTACATGAGCTCTATCTGTTTTAGGATTTCTGATTATATCCTCTTGGCATATCTGATTTTTTTTATAATGGACTGATTTACAGTCAGATATATCTAAATTAGAAGATCCTCTGTTTCTAGACTATGATGTGGAGTTTCTTGTTTCCTTTAATTTCTCACTCCTAGGCCCGGACAATCTTCAATTTTCTGTGACAAATCTATGTCACTGTGCAATTGTAGATTTTTACACTTTCTCTTCCTTCTGTAGCTACATTCTCTTCTCTTCCTCTAAGTGGCAGATTATGTATGAAGCACCTAGTGTAGTCCTACCAGCTACGAAGACTCATTTAAATTCAACACATCCCACTGTCCTGCTAAGTGTTCTATCAATGTGCCAACTTTGCTGTATTAACCTAGGAGCAAGGGAAACTGCAAGTCTCTCAATCCTTGGGCTACAGCAGGTTTCTTTTATTTAATGAAGTTTGAGTCATTTTATAGCAGAACTGGGCTGCAATTCCAGCTGAGCCCTTTTCAGCCTGTATATCCCTCTCTGCTGCACACCTCTGGAGTGTGCAGCCAAAATGTAAGTTAATGAAGACAAAGAGGAAAGATGTTCCTGACACGGTGATTTTTCTCTCCTGTTAGGGCACTGATGCTCAGGCAGTGCTGAAAAAAGCTGCAATGCTATTGCTTCACTCTTCACAGTAACTTTTATCTTTTCCTCAGGGACACATGGAGCAAGTAACTGTTGACCACCTTAACATTTCCTAGAATTTCTGTCTCTCAAAAAATATCCCACTCCTCCCTGCAGTATCGACTTTGGTACAGACTACTCTGAGTCTCACATTTTTTTTTCCTTGTTGCCACATCTAAAACATCTAAAGTATTTCACGGGAAAATAAAGCAAGAAACAGTGGATCAAATTAGAGAGGTCCACAACTGGCTTGTATCGGTGATGACTGTGGCCCAAGCACATTTCTTTTTTAACTTTGCCATCCTTCTGTCTTCTACAATCAAAAATAAGTTAAGTGCTTTGCAATCTGTGGAATGTGGTTTTTTTTTCACATGACCACCATCTGGGCTGCAATTCCTCTGGCCTTTTGTACCTCTCTTTGTTGTTTGGGTTACTGATAGTTGTCTGTCCAGTGATGTTTGATTTTAGCTTTCTCCCTCGTCTCTTCAAGAAGTTACACCTAGAAACTTTCCCTAATTTTATCTTTGAGGTTTACACTTGTCTTGGCCTTAACAAACATATCTGAATTCTACAGTTTATTCCTGTCAGTACACTGTGCCTCACTCTTAACATGTGAGTGTTTGTCTACAGGAGGAGATACCAGTCAGGAATAACTAAGGATTATCTGTTGGAAGCTCACATGTGGGGTCCATTGCTCTTTGAAAATGGATGCAGATTATTTGTGCTGTTGTTCCACAATCCATGTCCCGTCAGGGAGTCTTCAGACATCCTTTTATTTTTCTCCCTCCCATTTGAACTCAGTGTCCTGTGCAGTGCAAGCCTTAATTTCAGCTGTCATCAGACCTGCTTTCTCCTTCATCTGAGATTTCTTCCTAATGCAGTGGCACTTGAGGTTTCTTGGAGATAGGTCTGTCAGACTGGTGGTGAGTTAAATGCTCACTGAAATTGATGGAAACTACTGTAGTGACTTCAAGGCCTATTGGGCTGGTCCCTGAGAACACCGAACCAAACAAAATCCAGATCTATTCCAGGCTATATGCAATACTCTTTTATTGCATTTTCTATCCCCGTGTGTTACAAGTTTTTATTTTTTCTTTTCTAAACAGTGGATTCTTTTTCTGTCCTTTGTGATTCTGAAATGGGAACAGGTAATGTTGAGCACAGGGTCATTCTCTCAGGCCTAATCTACAGTATTTCTTTCCCCTAGCTGAGAACAGAGTGTTCTGAAGCTTCCTGCAGGCCTCGGTTTGCTGTGTGTCAGTGTGATGTGCTGCTTCACTTGGTTTGCTGTGCTTGTGGGTAATTTGATAAGTGATAATCATGGCCTGCAAGGAATGCCAAACCCGTTGTTCACACTGTTCCAATTCATATTTTCATTTTGCCTGGAAAAGCCACTTTGCCTGTACCAGTGTACTTTTGAGACTCTCCTGCTGAAAATAGGCACCTTTTTTTTAACTCTTTTGTGTAGTGAGTGATATTTTCTGATGCTTTTAAAATTGGATTATTGTATTTGTTAAATCATAGGCAGTGTTACCTCAGTTCCATGGGGTAAGAAATGGGTATCACTGGCTGCTTTGCTTTGTGGATGGTGGAAGTCTGCTGATAAAATAAGGCAGCATGTCGGAACGTGGTGTGCTCTGTGTTGTGCTTATAGATGAGGGTAAAAGAGAGAGACAAAAGGAAGTAGCTAAAAGTACAGGAAATACCAGAAGAGCATCTGTACAACACCAACTTCAATCCAGCAGTGAAAATCTGCCTTCCTCAGTACTCGATCCATCTCAAAATACTTGCAGTAACGTTTATTACGGAGTAAAATGAAGTTGTGAAATTATGTGATGACAGTAACAGCCAGTATGGCAGTATGCCAGGGTGTAAAAAAATTCTAATACTCCCATGTAGCAGTTAGCAAGAGCAACAAGCTGCTTTCACAAGCAGGGAAGCAGAAGACACAGCAAGGACCAAGGTCAAAAGCATTAGGCTTTTTGGCGCTTCTTTTCTGCAAAGTGCAGCACAGACGGAGAAGCCTCTAGGAACTATGCCATCAGCTGGCTTAAATGGACTGCTGGTAAAATCAGGGGGAAGGCACCACTTTAGCCCACTTGAGAAGCTGGTCTTGGTTGGGCTTCGTGCATCATCTCAGGGGATATTGCTTGTCCCTGTGCCTGCTCTATGCCTGTCCTCTGCCTGTATCCGTGTGCCTGCCCTGCGCCGCTCCGTGTGCGTGCTGCAGGCGACACTAGAGGTCACTCTGTGACCAGGGATGGGAGCCTGCCATTCGGGGGCCTTGAGAAGGTCAGCAGCTGCTAATCCGTATAAATTGCTGAACTACAAGCAAAATTTGTACCTAATTATGAGCAGCTTTGATGCGGCATTGCTTCTATCCCAACTTGAGAGCCAATTTCCTAAAGGAGAAAAACACACCCTTAAGTGGTGTGTCTGTCAGAGCTCCCAGAGCAAGGCTGGTGGTTTAGGCACAGACTTGGGACATCTTTGCTGTGTGGGCAGCATTCCCCACGGCGTCCTCCTGGCTCAGATCTACCTGCCTCCCTCCCCTCCCCACACACTGTCAGCTGTCTTATCAGCATGGTCAGGAATTCATTTGATGCTGCCTAGCAAGCCTAGGGGGAAAGATGGATTTAACACAGTCACTAGACATCTGCGTGCTAAACTCAGTGGCTGTGAACCTATATCGAAAGGATTTAATTTTATTCCCTAATAATCCCTTTTCTCTCAAACAGGTCAGACTAGAGAGGCTGCTGCTACTGCTGTGGCTTTCAGCCTCGCTGGCATTGTTGTTGGTTTCAGAGCTGGGCAGCCCTGCAAAACATCTGTCTCATCTCATGGAAAGTCTTCCTTGTAGTATCATTTTGTTGAATTCATTTACTCTGGCTCCTCAGAAAAAATAATAATAAAATAGGAAGTTATTTCTGCTTTTCAGTTCCCCGAAGTACCTTTGTAGAAGTTATTCTGAGAGGAAGATTTCACTGGTTTTTCCCCATGTCCCTGAGAGCCCTGATAGATTTGGCTTTGCAGAACCTACTTGAAAGTTGCTAGCATAGTTAGCAATAAATTCTGGATGAAAGTAAAAGAATGAGAAAAATAGATTTAAAGAAGTCATTTTAGCCTTTTTTTTTTTTTTTTTCCCCATTGCAAAATGTGCCTCATTTTGCCCAATTATAAAGCATGTTCTCACCCTTCCTCCCATCTCCCAAAGGATGAAAGGTGACACACCTGATATGAGGCTGAACAAAACATTTTAGTTGACCTAAAGCATTTTTGCTAAGTTTATTTTTTCACTTTGGCCATAAAAGGCAAAGCCGGTTATTTGCACAGCTTTATTTGTAAGCCTTTCCTTAGCTCCTGTGGAGGCCAGGTGCCTGCTGTCGGGGGAGGGAAAATGCCCAACATCCCTTTTTCTCCATGGAACATACCATTAATGACCCAATTTTGCTGGAGGTTTCTAATGCTCTCGCAAGGGTTTTGTGGCATGGGGAGGCTTTGCACTTCCCCCATTAGGGCAGGTACCTGGTTGTGGCTGGATTCCACGGTAGTGCAAACATCTCACAAATCTAGTCAGAAATAATTGGGATAACAGGGACTCCTTAGTCTTCGTTCACTCGAGGGTCACAGGACGTCAGATTTGACTTTGTTATTGAAGTCAGTTAATGTACTGGAAATGCCTTCATTTTCTCCCTCTGGAGCATGGGTTCAAATCTGCCATAAATTACAAGTGACACAGGTTCAGTAGTCTTAATTAAATCCCACGAGGTTATTTTTGTGTGTCAACACTCCTCTTCTCCTCCCTTCTGTACCATTTGGAGCAGCCGAAGGGCAAGGAGGACTCTGGCTTAGTGGTGGAAGTTCTTGGTGCTGCATACAGCTGTGTAGATTAGCTCAGGGCTGGGCTATGCCCAGGCTCTGTCCTGGTGTCAGTCTTCCATTGAGCTTGTAATGTAGTGTATAGTCTATGTACATTTAAAGCGTTCAATTCTGAGCAAGACTGTTATTCCTTGTAGGGAGATAACTGACTGTAGAGGATTTCTGTTATCTACAGCATCTCTTCAGCCTGGGATTCATTGATCTCTGATCTGCTCTCTAAAGGTGCCAAATAGGAGTGATCAATGCAACAGTGCTGATGTGAATAAAGC